GCTTAGGGTTTAGGGCTAGGGTTTAGGGTTTAGGGTTTAGGGTTTAGGGTTTAGGGTTTAGGGTTTAGGGTTTAGGGTTTAGGGTTTAGGGTTTAGGGTTTAGGGTTTCGGGTTTAGGGTTTAGGGTTTAGGGTTTAGGGCTGGGGTTTAGGGTTGAGGTTTATTTAGGGTTTAGGATTTAGGTTTTTGGGTTTAGGGCTTATGGTTCAGGGTTCCAGGGTTTCAGGATTTCAGGGTTTAGGGTTTCAGGGCTTAAGGCTCTATAGGTTTCTGGGCTGCGTGGTTTGCGCGTTTTTGGGGTTGATGCCCTTGTTTGAGGATTTCAAACCCTAAACCCTAAACCTCTCTTGATGGGACACCCTATGGAGCTCCTTCAGCAAGACTCTGTTGGCACCAAATCCTACCCCAAAACAGCCGCAAGCCCTACAATGAATGCCCTAAGTCCCACACAAGCCCTGAGCTCTTAACTCCTGTACTGCTATAAATCTCACCCCACAACCTTGACTCTAAACCGTCAGCCCTGTAGACCCCTAAGCCCTGAAACCCTAATCCAGCCTAAGCCCCAAACCCCGTAACCCAAGCAATGAACCCTCATAAGCCCTAGACACCCACGCTTCTAAACACCCCCAACACCCCTCAAAGTCCTCCCAATGAAGGCCGCCGGGGGGAATTCGAAGCGCTGCGGCTTGGGGCAGGCTCCTCTGAGGTAGCTGCGTGTTCGTACTCTACGCTTCAGTAGTACTACTAGGGCTTGTTAGGGTTGATAGGGGGCCCTTAAACCCCTAAACCCCTAAATCCCTAAACCCCTCCACCCCTAAACCCTAAACCAACAAAAACCCTAAACCCAGTTTAGCGTGCCCTGCAAGCCCTTGAAACCCTAAACACCACGCATATAAAGCCATGACGTCCCAAAAACCAGGCTTGAGACCTCCTGGGGACCGACTTTGAACACTCTTTTTGGAACCATCTCGGCAGGTCTCAGCTTTAGGGTTTATTGCTCACGGTTTTGGGCCTTCTTGCGGATCTGCCGGTCTTCTTCGAATTGCTGAGGTCGGGGCTCATGCGAGAAATGCATGAGCCCCAGGAGGATGCCATGAAGAACCCATGGACGAGACCTCCTCAAAATCTGAGCCATCCCTAGTGTACCCTCCCAAGCCCTAAACCCTAAACCCTGAAGCCTAAAACCAAAAAACCCTAAAACCTAAGACCCTAAAACCTAAAACTCTAAACCCTAAACCCTAAACCTTAAACCCTAAACCTTAAACCCTAAACCCTAAACCCTCAAGCCCTGAACTCTTAAGCCCCTGCGCCCTGCAGGGCTTCCAGCCGTCATTAGGGCCCCAGGCTTCCCAGTAACCTAGGCTTAAAAAGGGTGCCCTTTTTTGCTTAAAGGGGTTTATAAGGGAACCTAAACCCCCCAAAAAGGGAATAAGGGTTTAGGGTTTAGGGTTTAGGGTTTAGGGTACCACTGGGCATCCTAGGGCCTTCATCAATAGGGTCATGCTCGGCTCCGTCCTGATCGTCGGCGGCGGCCTTGCTTAAGGGCTTAGGATTTCGGGGGTTCTTTCTGGGTTTAGGGTTTAGGGTTTAGGGTTTAGGGATTAGGGTTTAGCGCCCAAACCTCACACCCCATGCCTTGGAAACCTCGAGATTTCTGCCAAAGGGGGGGGGGGGGTTAGGGTTTAGGGTTTAGGGTTTAGGGTTTAGGGTTTAGGGTTTAGGGTTTAGGGTTTGGGGGTTGGGGTTTAGGGTTTAGGGTTTAGGGATTTGGTTTGGGTTTGGCGGGGATGCCAAGAAAAGCTGCATGCAGGCAAGCCTGGACGTAAAGCGCCCAAACCTCACACCCCATGCCTTGGAAACCTCGAGATTTCTGCCAAAAGGGGGGGGTTAGGGTTTAGGGTTTAGGGTTTAGGGTTTAGGGTTTAGGGTTTAGGGTTTAGGGTTTAGGGTTTAGGGTATAGGGTTTAGGGTTTAGGGTTTAGGGTTTAGGGTTTAGGGTTTCGGGTTTCGGGTTTCGGGTTTAGGGTTCAGCATCTCAAGCCCAAGCATTCACTAGTCAAGCAGCTTGTCAAGCGCTGGAAAAATACCTACCCGCCCAAGAATCCCGTAGCATTAAGAAAATACAAAGTTCACTCAATACATTCCCAGTAGGCTTAAAGCTCAAAATTCTAACCCTGTCCCTCATACCCTGCAGGCCCTGAACCCTATGACCCACATCCTAGAAACTCTAATCCCTATGCTCCAAACCGTCATTAAACCGTATGCCCCAAATTTTAGAGACCCTAAACCCTAGGCCCCAAATCCCAGAGTTAAACCCTATGCCCGCAGGCCCGGGCTGGAAAACACCATTTGCCGACGAAGTGCGTCAGTGTTTAGGGCCCCCCCGCAAAAAAAAACAAAAAACAGTTGCCGACGAAGGGTGAAAAGGGTTTAGGGCCCACGGGGGCAAAAAACCCATTTGCCGACGAAGGGTGTCAGGGTTTAGGGCCCACGGGGGAAAAAAAACCATTTGCCGACGAAGTCCGTCAGGGTTCAGCCCCCCCCCCCCCCCCCCCCCGAGGAAAAAAACATTTGCCGACGAAGGGTGTCACGATGTAGGGCCCGCGGGGAAAAAACGATTTGCCGACGAAGGAAGGGTGTCAGGGTTTAGGGCCCACGGCGGGACAAAACCATTTGCCGACGAAGGGCGTCAGGGTTTAGGGCCCCTGTTTTCGGGAGCCCCTGTGGGGGGGAGCCCAGGATCCGGCCAAAAGTGGCCGATTCCAGCTGAGTTTAAAAAGAACTTATATGGCAGAAAGGACCCTCTCATTTTTCAGATTCTGGTTCCGGGCTCAGGAAAAAACCACATGCCAAGGGTGTCAGGGTTTAGGTTCAGAAAAAAACCACATGCCGACGAAGCCCACTAGGGATCAAATATGCATAGTAAGAAGGGTTTAGGGTTTAAGGTGAGTTTTGCTGGTTCAAGAGCGGATCCCTGACTTGGAGCTCCCCAGCCAACCAAACACAACGCCCAAGCCCTAAATGCCTTGGGACCGAGGCGGACTATAGCCTTGCCATAGCAATCCCACGATTGTTTAGGGTTTTAGGGTTTTAGGGTTTTAGGGTTTCTAGGGTTTATTGGGTTTATGGGGTTTATGGGGTTTCTGGGGTTTACAGGGTTTAGGGTTTTTCAGGTTTAGGGTTTGGGGTTGTTTGGCCAGGCCACCCCGTGTAACTTATGCTCGCGGTTGCATTCTGCTTCGGCTTAGGCCGCGGTGACCCTAAAAGTAACTTACTGTTGGCAGGGAATGAGGTAATTAAGTTCAGGGCCCTAAATTATACCCTTTAAGGGATTATATAGGGTACCTCATTCCCCCATTCCCTACTAACCAACAGTAAGGTAAGTTCAGGGGGATGCTCCTTGATCTGGTGCAGGGCGACTGTACTAGGCTTAAACGCTAGAACCTGTAGACTCGAATTTGAATCCCAAACCCTAAGCCCTGAACCCTAAACCCTAAACCCTAAACCCCATAAACCCTGAACCCTGGACCCTAGTGTTCAAGGCCCAAAATCTCCGAGTTTTTCGGCCGCGCAGCCCAAGAGGAGCGAGAGGAGCCGCGGCTGGACGATGAGCCGAAGCCGAAGGGCGACTGGCTCGTCTGAGGCCAGGGGTGTGAGTGGATTTGGGGTTTAGGGTTTAGGGTTTAGGGCTGGGTCTAGGGTCTAGGGTCTCGGATTTCGGATTTCGGGTTTAGGGATAGGGTTTAGGGTTTAGGGTTTAGGGTTTGGGGTTTGGGGTGTGGGGTTTGGGGTTTGGGGTTTGGGGTTTGGGGTTTGAGGTTTAGGGTTTAGGGTTTAGGGGTTCAGCGTTCGGGCTTCAGGGTCTTAAAACCCGAGCCCACGCTTCTCAACAGGAATTCCTGTCCCTAAACGCTAAACCCAAAGGCAGTCCGCAACCTTCCTCCATGTTCTCTGAGAGTCTGCAAGGGTTTGGGGTTTAGGATGTAGGGTTTAGAACTTGGTGTCTTGCACGCAGGTTTTGCGGCTTTCCGAGCCAAAATCTCCCCCCCCCCCCCCCCCCCCAACCCGCGAATCCAAATCCCCAAGACTCCAAGTCCTACAAGCCCTAAGTTCCTAGGCGCTCATCCGCCCAGAAACGATTGATCTTCCGCAGCTCTGCAGAGTTGTTAGGTCTTCTCTCTCGGGTATCACCTCATGCTCTTCTACCCAAAGCCCAAAGCCCTCAAGAGCACAAACATGCACAAACCCTATCAGCCCCAAACTTAAACCCCAAAACCCTAAAACAAACCCAACCCCAAAGCCCTCAACAACCCCCCAAACAACCCGAAACCCCAAACACCCAAATACTTTCGGGTTGGGATGTTCCCCCTTATACTAACAGTCCTTAATAGGGATTCTAATGGGGGGGGGTACCATAATACCTATTAAGGACTGTTAGTGTAAGGGGCAACATACCAACTTTAGGGTTTCGAGTCTGACGCGCCTTTCTGTTGGCCGATCTCTTTGAGAGCAGCTGTTGGATGTCGTCCATGTCGGGCATCCTCCCGAGGGGCAGACTGTCCAGGGAACTCTTTGGTTTTTTAATGAGCTGTAAAACAGGTTTTAGGGTCTTAATGGGGATTTCATAGTTTTTTTCGGCTTTGAATGGGTGTTCATAAGGCATAAGTTGGGTTTTAGTGGGGGTAGGGAGTTTGGGAGCTCGATAGGCTTTATGGTTTATGGGTTTAGAGAAAGGACCAGTAAAGGCCATCTTCTCCCATGATCGCATAAACTCCAAACTTACATGTCATGCATGACCCCCCTCAAGAATCCCAAGAACCGTGGGGTTCCCAAGCAACTCACGAAACACCCAATAAATCCTAAAAACCCGAAAAAAACCCTCAAAAAGAGCCCAAAAGACCCCCAAAAAAACCTAAAACCCAAAAATCCCGAAAGCCCGATCAACCCTAAAACGCACCCTAAACTCTTTAAACCCTGAACACCCTAAACTCCCTAAACCCTCAACCAAAAGGAGAGACAACGGCCACGAGGGCACCACCTGGGAGCCGAGATGCTGACTCGGCTTCTTCGAGCTTGAGCTCGAAGCAAAGCCTGGTTCAACCATGGGCTCTGCTAGGGTTTAGGGTTTAGGGTTTAGCGTTTAGCGTTTAGCGTTTAGGGTTTAGGGTTTAGGGTTTTAGGGTTTAGGGTTTAGGGTTTCGGGTTTTGGGGTTTAGGGTTTAGGGTTTAGGTTTTAGGGTTTAGGTGAAGATAGAGACCCTCAAGAGCACCTCCGCCGCCCACGCCCTTGTAACCCTTCACGCACGAGTCGAGGTTGGGGAGCGAGGGGCACTAATCAACGAACGCCAAAAGAGCACCTTAATGACTTCCTCCTGCCCCCTCCCCCCTCTGCGGGCGGTCTACACTTTCGAAGGTTAAGCTTTTCATCATGGGCATAGTAGGTGTCCGGAGATTCCCTGTCGGGTTTAGACCCTTCAAGCACTGGGTTCAGGGAGGGTGTCGGATGGTCGTATCCCTAAACCCTAAACCCTAAACCCTAACCGTGGAATGAAACCTAAGGCCGGACCACTCCCCCCCCACTCCCCCCGGCACCCCTGCCCTTTTTGAAATACAGGGGCTTATAAGGGATCCCAAACCCTCAACAAAGGGAATAAGGGCCTACAAACTCCAAGCCCCAAACTTCGGTCTCACCATAAACCGTACGAAGCCTCGTCCCCTAAACCTTAAACCCTCAGACCCCTAAACCCTCAGACCCCTTAAACCCGAAACCCCTGAACCCCTAGACCCACTCCTAAACCCTTAACCCCTATAAGCCCTAAACCCTAAACCCGAAACCTCTAAACCCTCAGACCCGGAACCCTATAAACCCTAACCCCCCAAACCCTAAAACCCCTAACCACCTAAACCTTGGGATGTTCCCCCTTATACCAACAGTCCTTAATAAGCATTATAATAGGGGGTACGATAATCCCAATTAAGGGCTGTTTGTATAAGGGGGAACATCCCAGCTCTAAACCCTAAACCCTAAACCCACCTAAACCCTAAACCCTAAACCCTAAACCCTAAACCCTAAACCCTAAACCCTAAACCCTAAACCCTAAACCCTAAACCCTAAACCCTAAACCCTAAACCCTAAACCCTTAAACCAGCCGCGCCACTGGCGCTTGACGCCACGGAGCCACCTGTGGAGTGCCTGCGCTTGCTCCTTCAGGGTGCCAGAAAGATGCAGGATTTGGTTTAGGGTTTAGGGTTTAGGGTTTAGGGTTCAGGGTTTAGGGTTTAGGGTTTTAGGGTTTAGGGTTTAGGGTTGAGGGCTACATTGGAATGGGAAGCTGTGCAATAATAGTGCATGAATACAGGGAGTATAAGGGGACAATGTTGGTAACTGCTTGAGGGCCCTGGCGTTGTAGGGTTCCCTATGAGGTGCGGTGTGTTGTGCTTCCAGCCTTCGTGTGTTTTGCAGGCTTACGGCCGGAGGAGGATTTGAGGGTTGGGCTTTGGGCTGAGGGCTTCAAGGTTCTTGGATGATGCGGCAAAGTGCCAGGACAAAGATGTTTGAACATTTCAGGAATCTGCTCTGTTTGAAAAAGCCCATGCATCGAACCCACGATAGTTCGACCCCCTCAAAGACTGACACTTCACTCCAACTCGGGATATAGTACCCCCTATTATGATCCCTATGAAGGACTGTCAGTAGAAGGGGAACATCCTCCCCCCCCTCCCCCCCCTCCCTCCCCCGGAAGAAGCCCTCTAGCTTCAGGGGCCGATGTGTCCCAACCTTCGCATGATCAAAAAATAAGCCTCCGGCAATTCTGAAACCTCAAGTCAAGCAGCCCCTAAGCCCTAAGCCCCCAAAACCCTAAAACCCACGAACCTAAGCCCTAAACCCGACAAAATCCTGAAAGCCTCAACACTTTATCCGCCCCTCCGATGTCCTGGTAACGTCCGGAACAGCGAGGTTGGCTTTGGAGAGGGGGTTGGAGCCCTAGGAGACTTCAGGGTACCAGGAAGATGCAGGGGGTTTAGGGTTTAGGGTTTAGGGTTTAGGTTCAGGAATTTAGGGTCTAGGGCATAGGGTTCAGGATTCTAGGGTTTAGTGGCTTGGGCAGGGCTTTAGGTCTTTGCCCTTACTAGACCTTTGGCATGGGAGTTGGGTCGTGTAGGCAGGTTTCGGGAATCTTGTGGCTGAGTTCCGAGCAGGGGGCAGGGGTTTTGGGGAGTTCTATGTCTTGAGGATTCGAGATTTGGAGAGCTGTCCCGGTTCTCGAGGCTTGTCGCCATCATCCGCCCTCTGAGCCCTACTTGAACATCAGTAATCCTCCCAGGCCCTAGGCTCTAAACCTCCACATCGCCGAGTAGTGCCAAGTAATCTTGACTCCACATGTGCAGCGCTTTTTCTTCCCATCGTCTCCCCAAACCAGAAGCCCGAAACCCTAAGCCTTCATCCCTAAACCCTAAACCCTAAACCCTAAACCCTAAACCCTAAACCCTAAACCCTAAACCCTGCCAATTCCCCCTACACGGGACGAGTGGCCGTAACGAAGGAGCTGGAGGAGGCCGATCGGGCAGGAATCGAGGCCGTTCCTCAGAGAGAGGAATACAGGGCTGAAAAGCATTCGAATAGGGTTCAGGATTTAGGGTTTAGGGTTTAGGGTTCAGGGTTTAGGGTTTAGGGTTTAGGGTTTAGCATGATATTATTCTCGTATAGCTATAAAGGGACCCGAAAGGGAATATTATTAGAACATTCTTCCGACCCCTATACTAGCAGCTTTGGGGCTGAATTCTGGACCGGTTTGAGGTTTCAGGGTATTCAGCCCCATGATTGACACGCCCACGTCAACATCGAAGTCGCTCCCCTCGGAAAACTCTCATGCATCTTGGCCGCGATGAGATTCTTAAGGCTGGGCTTAAAGGAACCCTGGGCCCTAAACCCCAAGCCCGAGATGCCCCAAGAAAAACCACCCAGTTTCTAAGTCGAGAATATGGGAAGGACACCTCTTCAGCGTCCTCTTTCCTCCCTCCCTGCTGGTGAAATAGTTTTTTGTGTTGTACTACTTTGAAAGCTACAAAAAATGCTACACACCATGTAAATGACCGATTGCAAATACAGTTCAACTTACACTCTACAAAAGCTACTAAGAACCAGCAAGTGCAGGGCTCAGTTTAGGCCGATGCCAAATCGGCTGAGGGTCCTTCGTCGGGTGTGGCTTCGGACCGCAAGAAGATGGGTATCGAAACATCGCCTGCGATATGGTGGGAGGGAAGGACTACACAAGAAGTCTGCCAGAAAAGGTTATCCTTCCTGGGCGTGCCGGAACTGAATATCAACTGTTACCCTACAGCCGAATCTAGGATGGCACTCAAAACCCTCTGAAACATATTCCTGAGTATGAGCCTCGTTAGTAGCCCAGTAACCATATTATAATAAGGGCACCCTGTTTTGGGCTGGTTACTTTATAAGGGAACTCAGAACCAAAAAAGGGCAAAGGGCACCACTGGCCTACCATGGCCTCTTACACCCAAAAAGGGAAAACATGAAATGTCCCAAAGGGCCTACCGAGCAATTCCAACCGAAACCCCGAACCATCATCCCATGGTGGGAATTGCAGTCGAGCATGGCAGCGCTTCATATGATGAAGCCCTTCTCGACCTACTAGAGGGGCCTTAATAATTAGTAGAGGGTTTTGGGGGATACTAGAATGGACTTATGAAAACAGGGGCCATAAGGGAATACGATGAGCTGCTTTTTCACCCTAACACGGAGAGCCCCGAACATGTCTGCGTGGTTCCTTTCGAGGCACATCGGTACTGGGCTTAGGGTTCCAGGGTTTGCGAGTTGACAAGTGCCCTCGAGTTAGAACATCTGTGACCTGTAGGCTTGTTTAAGATCCTAACCCTAAGCCCGAAATCCCGAAAGCCCTAAAGCCCTAAAGCCCTGAAGCCCTGAAGCCCTAAAGCCCTCAAGCCCTAAAGCCCTAAACCCCTAAAGGAAGACTGAGAGACTGACTGCCGAGTCACCTGATAGCAGCTTGGAGTCTCGAAGCTCTGGCTTCGCATCGCCTGGACAGACTCCCCCTCCCTCAGCAGCCGGGCTTGAAGAAAAAAGAGTTTAGGGTTTAGGGTTTAGGGTTTAGGGTTTCATGTGTCTGGGCTGGCTTGCCTGGTTGATATAGGTTTAGGTACAGTATCCTACTCACATATTGATTTCGCATGGCTCTCCGGCAGCGTTTGTAGCAACAGGGCTTCAGTTTTTGCCGCTATTCCCCCCAAGCCCCGACGTGAATCCCACATACCCCCCCAACCCGAGCAAGTCTCAATCCCATCTTCTTCCCTCGAGCCACTTAAGGGCTCAAGGAGTAGGATGGTTTACAGTGAATTTCTAGGATCCTCATAAGGTTTATGAGAAGTTCCAGGGCTTGCAGGGCTTCAGGTTTAGGCGTTGGTTGAGTTCGGGGTTAGGGAGGCTCGTCTTGAGGCTTTCAGGCCCTCTGCGCCTGGCACCTGGTGCGAGGACTTCCGCTCGAGCTTCTTGCTGCCTGTCATCTGCAAAGCCCCGTGCCTCAGACCTTGAAACGACACTCCACCCCCCCCCCCCCCCCCCCCCCCCCCCCCCAGGCTGGTAAGCTTATGGAGGGGATGCGGAAAAAAGTCCGTCGGCTCAAAAAGGAAAGCTCAACCAGTGCCTGACGGGCGTGGCACCCAGGTGGAGGGATCTTCGCTCGCAAGGAAGTTGTAAGCCTGCGCGCGAACTGCTTCAGGGGTCTCAGGGGGTCTCGTTGCTGGGCTTCTATGACATTCAGGAACATAAGTGCAGTTGCCATAAAAAGGAAACCATGCTGCTTGGTATGTACTGTGCTCTCAAGGCGCCAGCCTTGAAATGCAGGGCCTACAGGGGGTATATTCACATACGTGTATATACACATATACACACATATATGTATATGTTTCATACATAACAATCTGCCATGAAAATATACGTGTTCATGTACATGCACACATATATATGTACATATATATATCGAGAGAGAGAGTAATGATAAAGTTTGTGGATTTAGGGTGTGTAAAGTTTATGTCTGAGCTTCAGTGCGGCACGCAGCCCTCAGCGCCGCAAGCAACGGGCTCCCCCCCAAGAAGTCCCTTCTTCTTAATGAGCCCTATCAGCTCCACAAGCCCTGTAATACCTATGGGCCCTTTTCGCCCTGTAAGCCCTATGAGCCCCAAATAAAACCCTAAACACTAAACCCTAATTAAACTCTATACCCTAAACCCTAATTAAACCCTAAACCCTAAACCCTAAACCCTAAACCCTAAACCCTAAACCCTAAACCCTAAACCCCATAAAACCCCAACCAACCCCAACGCCCCTGATGCCTGACGCGCTGAGCCCTGCCTCTTCCCCATCTGGGGCCGCACCCTGGGGCCGGATCGCCTGAACCACCTCCACGGCTTGTGGAGGTTTAGGGTTTAGGGTTTAGGGTTTAGGGTTTAGGGTTTAGGGGGTTAGGGCTTCTTAGTGGTTTCGGGGATTCCCCTAAACCTAATGAACCCTCCCGAATTCCCAATTTCCAACCCTGTTTGTTTGCAAGCCTCCCCGGATGCTGTGGGACCCAGTTGAACCCGCCGCCAAAACACTGGGCTTCCTTGAAATTGCATTATGGTTCAGGTCCCAAAACAAGTTGGGCGAACGCTAGTCGAAAGTTGCGGGCGCAAGTGTTGGACAAACGCTTCTTGTCGGGTTTCATTGGGGTTTAGGGCTTATAGGGTTTAGGGTTTAGGGTTTATAGGGTTTATAGGCTTAATATGGTTTATAGGGTTTATCGGGTTTATAGGGTTTAGGGTTTAGGGTTCAAGGGTTTGGGGTTAATAGGGTGGATGCCAAGTGGCACTGGCGAAGCTGCTTCTGCGAGAGGGGCTGCTGAGCGCCCTTGGTGAGTGAAACGGAAGTGTGAGTTTTAATGCCCCCCTTCTTTTGGGTTTAGGGTTTAGGGTTTAGGGTTTAGGGTTCAGGGTTTAGGGTTTACGGAGTAGGGTTCGGCCAAGGGTCCTTCCCGGAAGAAGAGGGGTGGTGGAGAAGGAAGAGGTTAAAGAGCTGGACAACAGTCTGGGGGTTGCGATTTAGGGCTTAGGGTTCCTCAGCTCTTGCATGCCTTCTGTAGTATTGGGCACATAGAGCACGTAGTTCCAAACGGTCTAAATCGAGGCCGAGAATTGTACTACTGTATGGGCTCGATCCATGTGGGGAGGGGGGGGGGGTTCCCCAATGGTGGTGTGCCTTAATCCTTCCCCTTAATATTAAACCCCCCTCCCTCCTACCCCCTAATATTGATCCCCATATACTATTAATAGCATAACTACAATGGGAGGATCGAATATTAGGGTTGCCCAGGCGCGGGGTGATGATCTCCGGCTTCAGGCTGCCCGACCGCTTGAGGCTGCCCGACGGCTTCAGGCTGCCCGACGGCTTCAGGCTGCCCGATGGCTTCAGGCTGCCAGATGGCTTCAAACTCCCCGATGGCTTGAGGCCTCGGCACGCCCGAATTTCAATAAGCCTAACCCTCCCCAAATCGAGGCAACCCCAAGCTCCAAACCCGAAAGTCTGGAATGCACAAGTGCCAAACCCGCCTGGCGTTCCGGTCTTTGGCTGCTATAGGCACTCCGCGTGCGACAGGGTTGGGGCTTCGGGTTCAACCCAGCATAAGCCAACCAAAAGCCAGGTTCGGAACCTACATGCTGCCCGTCAGACTCTCCAATTAGGGTTTCGGGTTTAATGTTTACTATTTGTTGCCCATAATAAGCCCCAAGACAAGCGGCTTCCGGATGGCTTCAGACTCCCAGAAGGCTTGAGGCTGCCGCTGCTCATGAGACCCTGGCGACCCCGCCCCATGTTGGCGATGGGTTTGTCAGGTTGAGTTTAGGGTTTAGGGTTTAGGGTTTAGGGTTTGGGGTTTAGGGTTTAGGGTTTAGAGTTTAGGGTTTAGGGTTTAGGGTTTAGGGTTGGACGGCCGAGCTGGAACTCGAAGCTGCGTGCCTTGCCCTTCATGAGCGCGGCGAGGCCCTTCACCTGTAGCATTGGCTCAGCGGGGTTAGCCTTCGGGTTTTGGGCTTGCGGACTGGGGCGGTTTAAGCCTTGAGTTCAGGGCTTTTAGGGCTTCAGGGTTTAGGGGGCAGTGTCAGGATTGGGCCTTAGGGATGCTGGGTGCCTGTTTAGCAGTCGTTTCACTGCAACATCTGGGAGGAAGCTCATACTGTGGGGTTCAGGGTTTAGGGTTTCGGCGCCTGCAGACCGTAGGCCCTATACAGCCCATGAGTACGTAGACCCAATGCGATCCCAAAGTCTAAGCGCTTCAAGGGATTGAGAAGGCACGACCCCCATAAGCCCTAAACTCTAAACCCTAAACCCTAAAACCTCCTAACCCTGACCCGAAGCCCTAACCCTAAGCCCTAAGCCCTAAACCCTAACCCCAAACCCTGAACCCTAAACTCTAAACCGTAAACCCCAAACCCTAAACTCTAAACCCTACACCCCAAACCCTAAACCCCAAACCCTAAACCCTATAAAGCCGAAGCCCTTAGCCCATCCCGAGATCCGGCCTTGTTCACGGAGCGCTTCCAGCGAGCGACGTTCTCCTTTGACTTCACTTCGCCTCGGGGGTGGTGTAGGGTTTAGGGTTTGGGGTCTAGGGTCTAGGGTCTAGGGTCTAGGGTTTAGGGTTTAGGGTTTAGGGTTTAGGGTTAAGGGTTAAGGTTTAAGGGTTAAGGGTTAAGGGTTAAGGGTTTAGGGTTTAGGGTTTCGGGTTTAGGGTTCAGGGTTCAGGGTTTAGGGTGGTTGGGGGAGGCGGGGGTTGAGGGCTCATAAGGCTTCTGATTCTTCTTCCGATTCCCTCAACATCCCTGAGCCCAACCCTAAACCCTAAACCCTAAACCCTGAACCCTAAACCCTAAACCCTAAACCCTGAACCCTAAACCCTAAACCCTAAACCCTAAACCCCGGTTGCTATCAGGATCCACCTTGGGGTTACCCCTAGCCGCCCTGAGCCCTGAAAACTCCGCCTGGTGCCCCTCCAGCAACGCAGCCTAGTGGCCCCAGATCCGAACTTGCCTCAAGGCCCTATTTCACGCCCTAAAAGAAGAGGCCCTTAAAAAAACCCAATCAACCCGAAGCTCTAGGACTCCCACAAAAAACGCACGCACAGTTGGGTCTAGGGCTTTATTTGGGGTTTAGGGTTGAGGGTTGAGGGTTGAGGGTCCACTCCCTGAAAGGCCAAGCAGCTGGGAGTTTCCCAGGAGTCCAGCCACTGCTTCCAGGAGTCGTCGTTTGTGTCGCCCTGGATCTGAACCAGCTTTGACCGCCACGCCTCTCGTTCAGGGGCTTCAGGGCTTTGTCACTGGTTTTCAGGTTGTGGGGCTTCAGGGCTCGGGCTTTAGGAGCTTTGTCCGTGCACGAAGGGTTTCGGGTTTGGATTTAAGGCGTCGGTTTAGTCTCTCAGGACCTTGGCGGCAACATGTGGGAAGGTAGTGCTAGCCACGAGCGCAGAAGCTTCAGAAAAACGCCCTAAACCCTAAACCCTAAGCCCTAAACCCTAAACCCTAAACCCCTAAACCCAGGCTATCGAGGTTACGACCGTAAGTTCGTAGCATTTGAATGTTGGCGGCCGGAGTCTGCCCAGAGCCGTCTGCAAGAAGAATCTCGTTCACTGTAGGGTCTAGGGTTTAGGGTTTAGGGTTTAGGGTTTAGGGTTTAGGGTTTACGGGGCTCGTTGGGTGAGCATCAGGCCTTAAGGCATGGCTAAGGGTTACGGTAACCCTTAACATCTAAGTCTCCATATGAACATCCATAAACCCTAAACCCTAAACCCTAAACCCCTCAACCCTAAACCCTAAACCCTAAATCCTAAACCCTAAACCCCTCAACATCGAAGCCTGCATATGAAAGAGCATCCCTTGTTCAGTGGAGGACCCATCACAGCACTCAGCTTGAGGCGTGCAGGGATATATTAAAAGTGTCGTCGTAGCGAGCAGCGCATGTCCCCCAGCCGCAACACCGAGACTTCTTCTAGGTTCGTCCGCGAACCCTAAACCCTAAAATGTAACCAGTGTACCTGTGAAGCGCGCTGAAGGCCAAAGCTGGAGGTAACACTCTTGACACTTGATGATGGGATGGAGGGTTTACGGGGCTCGTTGGGTGAGCATCAGGCCTTAAGGCATGGCTAAGGGTTACGGTAACCCTTAACATCGAAGTCTGAGTCTCCATATGAACATCCATAAACCTTAAACCCTAAACCCTAAACCCCTCAACCCTAAACCCTAAACCCTAATTCCTAAACCCTAAACCCCTCAACATCGAAGCCTGCATATGAAAGAGCATCCCTTGTTCAGTGGAGGACCCATCACAGCACTCAGCTTGAGGCGTGCAGGGATATATTAAAAGTGTCGTCGTAGCGAGCAGCGCATGTCCCCCAGCTGCAACACCGAGACTTCTTCTAGGTTCGTCCGCGAACCCTAAACCCTAAAATGTAACCAGTGTACCTGTGAAGCGCGCTGAAGGCCAAAGCTGGAGGTAACACTCTTGACACTTGATGATGGGATGGAGGGTTTACGGGGCTCGTTGGGTGAGCATCAGGCCTTAAGGCATGGCTAAGGGTTACGGTAACCCTTAACATCTAAGTCTGAGTCTCCATATGAACATCCATAAACCCTAAACCCTAAACCCTAAACCCCTCAACCCTAAACCCTAAACCCTAAATCCTAAACCCTAAACCCCTCAACATCGAAGCCTGCATATGAAAGAGCATCCCTTGTTCAGTGGAGGACCCATCACAGCACTCAGCTTGAGGCGTGCAGGGATATATTAAAAGTGTCGTCGTAGCGAGCAGCGCATGTCCCCCAGCTGCAACACCGAGACTTCTTCTAGGTTCGTCCGCGAACCCTAAACCCTAAAATGTAACCCATGTACCTGTGAAGCGCGCTGAAGGCCAAAGCTGGAGGTAACACTCTTGACACTTGATGATGGGATCCATGCTTTCCATGCCATGGCGGAATGCACACTTAACCGATGGCAACAACACGGTGTATGCATGTGTCCACCTGAAATGCCCGCTGGAATCCCTAGAGAGACTTCGGGAAAGCCCAAGGAAACACACCAGGAACTATGGACCTATGCCGGTCTTGCGCAGCATCTGACACTCCTGACCTCAGTCAAGCTCTGCCAGGCTCTCTCGGCATGATCTCGGCAGAAGTGGTGAGCGAAGAGTAGGATGATGACGCAGAGGATGCACAGGAAGGCAGCAAGCCAGGTGGGAGAGCGTGTCAGGACTGCAGCTTCCAAGCTCCCGCAGGCTGAGGCGCCAATCCCAAGAAGGAGCCCTTCTGCAAGAACAACGCCACATCCCATCAGCAGCGAACGTATCCAGCCAGGGCTCACGGCAGACTCGACTGCCTGCATCGTCTGCATCCAAACTGGCAGCGACACGGGGTCACAGAGCATGAATAGCATGATCCACTCAGATAGGCAAATTGCGCAAGCCAGGGGCCCTCCAGGCAAATCGCTCCACTCAGGCACCAAGCTCAGCTGCAAGTAATATAACAGGATGTAACTGGCGTAAGGCAGAAGACTGAAAAAACACACGCTCCAACTCAAGAATGTCTCGCTGCCCATGTTCCGAGTCAAAGACCTGCGCAAAGGGCCTCGCACATACTCGTTGAAGGCATCCAGACCGGCTTCTTTGGTCGGATAACTGGTGAAAGGGCGTATGTAGTCTTTCATCTCCTCGTCCAGCAGAGCTTCGTGGGCACCAGTAGTGCTTGGTCTTCTCCCACGCCGCACTCCACCGCCACACTCGTCACTGGCTCGTCCATGGCATCAAATGCCTGCTGAATCAATGACTCCAAAGTCACACGATCGGATTCATCGGAGACTTTGCAATTGCGAACCTCGAAGTCTTGTAGGTGCTGAAGCATTTCTTGGTGCTCCCGAGTGCTGTCCATGAGAGACCGCATCAGCGGCAAGAGGACAACAATGTAGCTGAAGAGCCCATATGGCACCCAGGAAAGATTATTCAAGAAGTGATTCCAGCCACGGTCTGGTGACAACACGGGCAGTCCTTCCGATGACACAGACGCGCTCAGGCTCAGGAACCCGATAGCTGCTGAGGTGGCCATCGCCAATGTGCTCAAAAGCTGCGCATACAGCAGCCACCGGGGCAGCCACAAAGGCAAGAACCAAACATGCGCGGCACCGTGCTTCTTGACAAAGAAGGCCAGCTCGGTCATGCACCAAAGTCGGTCCAAGTAGGAGGTGTCATAGAGCAATAAGAGCTGCGACGACTGCATCACAAAGCCTGGTAGAGCCTGGATCCCATGGGCTTTACGATCAGGATCACGCTGATCGATGCAAAGCTTGTCAAACCAGATGGTCGGGTCAAGGCAGTTCCACAAGTTCTGCCCCAAGAACAGCGTCAAGTACCAAGAGCCTAGCCAGCAAAGCTCAAACAGGACTGGAACAAGCCACACTTCGAAAGCAAACATCTCGGCGTTCTCATTCTTCGCCTTGGCGCGGCACTGTGTGTATGTAAAGAATAATATGAAAATCGCAGCTGCTCCAGCTTTCAAAGCCTTCTGGTGGTTGAAGGCGAAGCACAGAGCGAGGTACTTGGAGAAGGGATCGGCGTCCCACGTGTGGCTTATGAAAACGTCTACGTCTTCGACACCAACGCTGACATCCTCTTCCAGATGTGCGTCCTTCTCAAGCCTGGAACCACAGCCTTTCAATAAGTTGGATGCCCGCACTGCCCGAAAGAGGCCTTGTGCGGAGGCCACACGAGCCTTCTGGCTGGCAGTGAGCATGGCTGCCATTGGCTGCAAAAGGGCCCCCTGTGCTGTCCTGAGACCTGGAAAACCTTATGGGCTTCACAAGGTTTGCCTAAAAAAAACCTTTGCAGCCTAAAAAGGGCAAGCTCAACCAGGCCCAAGACCCACATGAAAGGTCAGGCTTCCTAAGCTGTTCAGCCAAAAGGGATCATTGGGATGTTGAAACCCGCAGGCCAACAAATTCACCCAAATCCCCAAAACCCTTAAACCTAGACCCAACCAACTCCGCTGAAAAACTAAACCCTTACACCCTTACACCCTTAAACCCTTCAACCCTGAAACCCTTAAACCCTTAACCATTCAACCCTTCAGCCCTTAAATCCTTAAACCCCTAAACCCCCAACCCCAACCCCTCCTTGAAAGGCCCCGTGCGCCTGTCTCGTCTCCGGAAGCGCTTGTCTTAAGAACCTTGGGCTCGAGCTCAGAGGATTCGATGGGACTTAGGGTTTATAAGGTTTAGGGTTTAGGGTATCTTGAGCCTCAAAAGCCCTAAACCCCCTAAAGCCTTAAAACCCTCAGCTAAGCCCTATAGGTCCTAAACCCCAACAGCCTTTGAGACCATGAAGCCCCTTAAAGCCCAAAAGCCCTAAACACCTATTACCCTACGGGCCATAAAGCCCCAAAACCCCAAAACCCTTAAATCCTTAGAAACCCTTAAACCCTAAAAAGACCCTAAAGCCCTCAAAAAACCTTAAGGCCTTAAACCCTTGGAACCCTAAAGCCCTAAACCCTACACCCCCAAAGCCCTAGAACCCCCCAAAGCCCTAGAGACCCCAAAACCCTAAACCCTAAACCCTAAACCCTAAACCCTAAACCCTAAACCCCAAACCCTAAACCCCAAACCCTAAACCCTAAAATCCGAACCCTAATAAGCCCAGGAGTTGACCGAGCTTTCCAAGGCCCGGCAACGTGGCCGCCGTGAAGCTGTCGGCATTCGCCGACTCCTTGGCCTGAAGGGACATGGGGCGGTTTTGGTAGGTTTTCGGGGCTTTTAGGGTTTAGGGTTCAGGGTTCAGGGTTTAGGGTTTAGGGTTTAGGGTCTGGGGTTTAGGGTTTAGGTTTCAGGGTTCAGGGTCTAGGGTCTAGGGTTTAGGGTTCAGGGTTTAGGGTTAGGGTTTAGGGTTTAGGGTTTAGGGTTTAGGGTTTAGGGTTTAGGGTTTAGGGTTTAGGGTTTAGGGTTCAGGGTTCAGGGTTCAGGGTTCAGGGTTCAGGGTTCAGAGTTCAGGGTTTAGGCGTATAAAGTTTAGGGTTTCTGTTGGGGGGTTTGGGGGCTTGGGGGCTTGGGGTTCAGAGTTCTCAGGTTTTGGGCTGCGGGCAACGGTTAAGGGCTTGCCACTTCAGGATATTCAGGAGGCCTTCTCTTTTCTGGAGGCTTTGCAGAAAAAGGTCTGGACTGTTTGTTTCATCTGCTTGGGTTGACTACCGACTAAAGTCTTAGCAAGAGCCTGAGCTACCCCTGTCTGCCGGAACCTTGGCAACGAAGATGCGCTGAGCCTGTCCGTCCAAGGGAACGTCAAATGGCGAAAGCAATGTGCGCCCAAAGCCGGGAATGGGCATCTTCAGGGCTCTAGGGTTTAGGCTTCAGGGTGTGTCTTTCTGGGTTTGGTTGGTTAAGGTTCAGGGTTCGTAGGGGTTTCTTGGTGGCCTCGGCCTTACTAGGTTTGTTTAAGAGATTGAGCTGCGCCCTAAACCCTAAACCCTAAACCCTAAACCCTAAACCCTAGACCCTAAACCCTAAACCCTAAACCCTAAAACACCTCACCCGAAGCTCCCACCAAGTTCCTCTCCAGGTGGGCTCCGGGGCTGCTATTTGTGGCTCTAAATGCATAAGAGGCTCCAGGGGTCACGTGGTGAACAAAGTCCTAAGTCCCTGGCTTTCTTCCTTCTGAGTTTCTTCGAGGCCCAGCTTTCGGAAGCCAGCTTTAGGGCTCACTGACAGGGTTTAGGGTTTAGGGTTTAGGGTTTAGGGTTTAGGGTTTAGGGTTTAGGGTTTAGGGTTTAGGGTTTAGGGTTTAGGGTGACTGTCTAGCAGTCAGTGGCCGAAGTCGCAGGTCGTGATCTCCGATTGTTTAGGTCGCCTGCTCTCTGGCGGCCGAACATGCTGGCTTTCAGGGATTCGGGTAGTCGCCTGAACCCAAAAAGCTTGGGTTTACGATCCTGAAGGGGCCCCTAGTATAGACCCCCAAAGAGTAGGAGTACCCTTAGAATAAGCACCCCAATAAGGCACCCCTATTTTCGTAAACCCCCACACGCAAGGACCCAAAGTAGCCTCATGCGCCATGTCCCGCAGCAATTTGTAAGAGATGCAATCCGCACCGACCTTAGCAGCGGGTGGCGGCCGAGTTCGCGAACTCAAGGGCTTAGGCTTTCAGGGTCAGGGTTGAGGCTACATAATTATCGAGTAAAGCGTGCAGGGTTCAAGCGGATCAGGGGTACAAGACATATGCAGAAAAGGATCCCAGTACGTTGCCTGACCTTCTTTTGAGGGTCCCGGACCTTCATGGGCTTTAGGCTCAGGGATTCTTAAGTTGAAGCGGCTTAGGATTCAGGCTTGAGAACCATTAGGGACTTCTGAAAACACTAGCACTGCCTTAACAGCTTTGGGGAACTCCACTGCCCCTAAACCCACACTCGTCATTCTGAACCCCTGGATCCTATCTGGGATGCTCACCCTTATTCTAACAGTCCTTAGAAGGAATCATGATAGGGGGTACTGTGATCCCTATTTCGGACTGATAGTACAAGGGGGAACATCCCAAAAATGACCCTTTATACCTCATCGTCGGGTGAGCTGCAGCAGCCGCCAGCGTCCGATGGCACCAGTGGTCGGAAATCTTCGCCAGTTGATCCTGTTTAGGGTTTACAGTTTAGGGTTTAGGGTTTGGGGTTTGGGGTTTGGGGTTCGGGTTCATGTCGTACCCGGCCTTGAGTTTCTAGGTTCGAGTTCCTAGAAGGTTAGAACCGGTAGGATGTAGGGGAGGCATGTCATAATCAGGGTTTCGGGTGAATAGCGGCTTCGAAATAAGGGGATCGAGGGCCCGAGGCGCTCTAACGCCTGCCCAGAAGACGCAAACAGTGAAAAAACACAAGGGCACTGCATAGGAAACACACATGCAACAACAGAAGAACACACACACACACACAAATAAAAATGAAAATGACACAAGTTGCTCGGCGCTGCTTCGCCTTCTTTGGCGTCTTATCGTTGCTGCCCTGTGCCTGTTCCCCGACTCCGACAGGGCATTTTTCCCCTCTCAGCATTCCTCGGTCCTTCAGGTGGGAGGACTTCATGTGCTGCTTCCGGGCGCACTTCACAAGCTCGGAGCACTGGCTCAGGAGCGCCTCTCCTCGACGATAGAGGATCTCGCCTGGGCGACCACAGCACCCGACGAGAAGGGTTTGGGGGGTTTGGACTCGAGGGATTTAGGGGGTGGACTGGAAACAAGGGAGTCCTCCTGTGAAGAGTGCGAAGCAGCTCCAGTCTAAGTCACGAAGGTGAGCTGATTGTAAGTCGTCAATTTGAGGGTTGAAGGCTTTGCACTAAAAGGGGTACGATTGCAAGCCTGTAGGTCAGTTCTCCCAGGCCTACAGCCCTCATAGCTTTAGACCTGAGTTGATCCTAGGCACAGTTTGTCCAAGGCCGCCAATCAATGCTCTGCTCCTGCATCTTCTTGTCCCACACCTGAACAGAAACATCTCAAGTCTTGCTCGGATCCTTCCGCTGGGGCCTGAACTCCACAACTCTATTCCGTACGATTTGCGCCCCTTGCCGCAAACCCTGGACCTTCAACACGGAACGTGCGCACACGTAGGCTTGCATTCGGGGATCTCAAAACCATCTGCAGATAGCCTCACCTAGAAAGGGAAGAAGTGCCCTGTAGGGGATCCTAGCAACAAAAAAACCGAAACCCCCAAGCCCCAAGACCCCAAAGCAGAAACCCGAAACACCATGAAAACCCCAACTTGAAGCATCCCCCCTCAGCAACCCTAAACCCTAAACCCTAAAGCCTAAACCCTAAAGCCCCCCCCCCCTACAGCACCTGCTCAAAGAGCTCCTTCAGAGACCTGCTGTTGGCTCTCAGGGCTATTTGGACTTCTACTATTTGCTTAAGAAACTCCCCCCCCCTCCCCCAAAAAAGGATCCCTGTAATCCCCTTATAAGGAAGAACATTTTTGTTCTCTGGGGGGTTCTTAAGCAATTCGGAGATTGGGGCATAGGGCTTAAGTTCGGGAAGTCTCCTCAGTCAGCTCTGATACCCCCCCGGCTCCATCCCGAACGTACCCAGACTGAACGATAAACCAATTTTTTACCACCCACTTGACCTACTTTGTGCGAGACAAGAGAGTTCCTAGCAGAAGTCTCAGGCATGTACTTTTATGTTTTGCATGGTCCTGGGAAGACTCTCCGAAATCGCGCAGAGCCTGCGTGCCCAGAGCCCCCACAAGCTCCGAAAATTCCACAAAACTCACAAACCCCACAAAACCTGTGGGGCTTCTCCCCAGCTGCGGCCCGCAGCGCATGCCTTTTCGGGGGGGCGGGGGTTGGAGTGGTTCGGTTTGGGGCAGTTTGGGTGGTTAGGGTTTAGGGTTTAGGGGTTGGGGGGCTTTGAGAGGATCTTTGATTTTGAGGGAACTGGGGTTTTTGGGGCAAGAGCTTTGAGTACGATTTGGGCTAAGGGTGTGCAGAGCAAGCATTGCGCGGCTTCTATTTGTTGTTGGCCATCGGCCTTGTTTTTGTGCATACTGTCGCAACACAAACCAATGAACACAAAATGGGCGAGAGATCTGGGTTTAGACCCTAAATCCTGAAGCCTGAACCCTAAAGCATCCTAAAGTCGAAACCCTAAAACCCTAAACCCTAAACCCTAAACCCTAAACCCTAAACCCTAAACCCCAAACCCTAACCCCGGACCAGAAAGTCTCTGATGCCGGGGCGCCGATTCACCAAAGCACGCGTGGCGGAAGCCACGTCGCTGAGCAACTCCCCACCGCAGGCTTCGTCTCCTGTTTTAAAGTGGGTCTAGACTCTAGACCCAGGAGTAACACAATAAACAAGGTACTCTTTTAGTCTAAAGGGGTTTATAAGGGAACCTAAACCCAAAAACAAGAAATAAGGGCCTATGGGTACTAGGGGTTTTGGGGTTTAGGTTTAGGGTGGCAAAAATCAATTGATTTTCAGCTAGTTGTGCTGTTTCTGCTTTGCCTCAAGTAACTCAAGTAAGTGAATTAGTTCTTGTTTCTTTTCAATGATTTCAACTGTATTTGTTCTCTTCTGACTATTTCAGTTATGTTCATTATATAGTTTACTGTTTGAAGACGTGGAACCCTGAAGCCGTGTGCCTCCGGTTCGGAGTGTGTCTCCGACACACCCTAACCCTTAGAATTGGACCGCTCAAGATTGCAGGGCAGCAAGCGAGCCCAATAAGGCCCACATGTGTTATGGGTTTCGGGCTTTCACATGTCGGGTTCAGGCTTTCAGTCTTTTGCATTTCGGGTTCAGGGGTGAGGCTTTAAGTTATTCTTTGGATTGTTAGAGTTCAGGGTTTCATGAAGGGCCTCGCCCGTCAGAAATAGCAGCTAAACCCTCATGTGTAAGTCCCAGACCCTCAAGCCCTTCAGCCGTGAACCTTCTTTCCCTAAAGCTCACCCCCGGCCTATACCTGTTTAAGTTGCTGAACCACGAAACAAAACAAACGTAAGCTGGAAGTCTATCATGATAACACCTCAGAAATAGCGGAGCTCTGCCTTCTGCTTGCCGTTGCTGCCAGTCATAAAACACGTTGTCCAGCTTCACCTGATCTTTGATTCTCCCCAAAGAGGGGTTACAGGCTTTCAGGTTCCAAGCCGCAAAGCCCAAAACCCTGAAACATCTGAAGCCCTCAAAAACTCTAGACTCCAAACCGATCCAAGATTTCTGAACCCAGACAAAACCCTGACTAACCCGAAGCCCTCGATCAAAACACGGGCCGAGGCCCGGAAACTTCAGCCAAAAGTCGGTTCTCAACACTCGGATTTGAGTTTGAGGTTCGGGGGCGTTGGGCAAAGGGTTTAGGGTTTAAGCTTAAGGTTTAGGGATGGTTATCTTTTGGGCTAGGGGTTTAGGGTTTGGGGTGGACGTTTCACTCAAAGGGCTTCGGTGGAGGGCTTGATGTCGAGGATGGAAGGTTCAGGATTTACCTGCCGAAAAGGCTTTAGGGTTTAGGGTTTAGGGTTCAGGGTTTAGGGTTTCGGGTAGACGCCCAACAGGCCCTGCACCTGCAAAGCAATTTCATGGGAGGCCCTGCTGCGGGGTAGCTTCCCCTCAGAAGACTCGCATTCAAAAAACCGAAAACCCTCCTAGGTTGGCCCCTAAAGCCCTCTGAAAAAGATTCCTGAATATGATCCTCTTAAACCCAAATAAGGGAAAATATAAAATGTCCCAAGGGCCTACCTAGCCTCAAATCATGTAGCCCCAAACCGAGTCACTGTGAGGTCTTCTGGCTCGCCGTCGGCTGTGCTTTGAGAGGCTGGGTCTGCAAAGACCTCCAGAATGTCGTGCACCAGGGAGCCTCGGCAAGTGCAGCCGCTTCGGAGTCCAAAAGGGGGCCCTATAACTTAAGGCCCCCAACACCCCCAACCCCTACACCCTAAACCCTATAACCCGTAAACCCTGCATCCTAAACCCTCAAGCCCTATAAAATCCACCCTAAAGCCCTAAACATCCGAAAACCCTAAACCCCAAATGCTAAACCTGAAAACCCTAGAAACTCCACACCAACCAGGTGGAGCCCGGCAGCCGTAGGCCAGGGCCGCCGCCTTGAGCCTTGAGTCCAAGTCTTGATACGGGTGCTCCTCCTCCGTTCCTGGTTCTTTGGGGTTTAGGGTTTCGGGTTTAGGGTTTTTTAGGCTTTAGGGTTTGGAATTGGAGCTGTGCGGCGAGTTCGAAAAGGCCTGGCTTCCGCTTCTGCTTTCTTTACGGTTTAGGGTTTAGGGTTTACGGTTCAGGTTTTTTTTGGCTTTAGGGTTTAGAGTTGAGGGTTCAGAGTTCAGGCTGAAGGTAAAACAGGCGCTCTTCCCACTACTCCTGGGATTTCGGTCTGGAGCTTCCATGATGTACTTGCTTAGGGCTTAGTGGTTGGGGGGGTTTTGTTTGGGTTCAGGTGCTCGTCCCCTGCTCCTCGCAGTGGACTTAGGGTTTTGGGAATAATGAAGGGCTTTCTGCAGGCATTAAGGGGCTTTCGGAACCTAAACCTGAGTCCTTGAAGCAACTCCAAGCCCTAAACACCCTAAAGATTTCAAACCCTAAGCCCTAAACACCCTAAACCCTAAACCCAAAACTTTTCAAACCCTGAGCCCAAAAGCCCGCTGCTGTCCTGACAGCTCCGGGGCGTCCGAAGGATCCATCTCGGATGGCGCTGGCTCCAGGTCCTCTATTAGCCAATCCTGGGACTCGTGAGGGTTTGGGGTTTTGGGGCTTGGGGTTATTGTTGAGTGCGAACCTGAACCCTAAACGCTATGAATGCGTCAACATTGGGGCATGGCCTGTCTAGCTTCGTCTGAAGTGGAAGGCATGGAGCCAGGAAGGGTCAAGGTTCAGGGCCCAGGGGGTTTATAGGGCTGAAAACTAGCCCTGCCCTCAGATCGATCCAAGTCACTTCGGCAGCAAGCCCCAGATCAGCATCTGCATGGCAGACGAATGCTGATGTTCAGGAGTTGCTTTACATCAAGCCTTGCGCACAAAACATCCTCGCCTGTTTTATGTCATTTAGGACTATTGGTTGGGGGTGTAGCTGCAAGGGACCTTTATAAACTGAAACCCTAACCAGCAGGAGATCCCAGCCTACAGCCCCCAACATCTCAACCTCACTGGCGCAAAGTTCAAGACTGGGCAATTTTCAAGACCTGGCAATCTGAAACTTCCATCAAGCTCCCTTATGCAGCCTAACTACTGCAATCTCAACCCTAAACCCTAAACCCTAAACCCGAAGCCCTCTGATTTAGGGCTTTCAATGATTCTCCCGCAGGCCGCCTTCAGGAATCTCCGGCATCGCGCATTCTTCGCCACTTGTCTCCGCGAGCATCTGCTCCAGCACCTACTATAGGGGTCTTAACAACTAGAAGAGGGTTTTGGGAGGTGATTATCGTATAATTAGAATAGGGTTTTGGTGGGATTAAAGTATGATTAGAATAGGTTTTGGGGGTGATTGTAGCATAATTAGAATACGGTTTTGGGGGGTTCTTCTTGGACTTTTCATCAAGGGACCACAAGGGAATACTATGAGTAATTATTCCGACCCCCTATGTTGTCCCACTCTCCGTTGGGCTTCCCTACCAAAGGCGGGGGGTCACTGGCACTTGGGGCCTTTTGGAGAAGGGACATGTGGGGTCCTGAAGGTTGAGGTTGTTTCATTACTTTTATGATTATTATTATTATATATATATATATTTTATTATTATTATTTTTTATTGTTTTTTTTTTTGGGGGGGGGGGGGGGCGGGGGGGGGGAGGGAAGAGGGCTTAAGGCTCCAGGCCTCCATCCGGCAGCAAAATGGGCCCCGAGCCCAAAAGCCCTAAACCCCCAGATCCTAAACCCAAGCTCCCTGACAACCCTAAACCCTAAACCCTAAACCCTAAACCCTAAACCCTAAACCCTAAACCCTAAACCCTAAACCCTAAACCCTAAACCCTAAACCCTAAACCCTAAACCCTAAACCCTAAATCCAAGCCAGGAGGCCAGGCCCTGCCAAGCCGATCGTATCGAAACTTTGAGCTCCTCGCGCGCCATCCTCTCGTCCTGCGGCTTAAAGGGGTTTGCAGATGTTTGCAGGATTTTGTGGGCTTGCAGGATTTTTTGGGGTTTGTAGGTTTGCAGGGTTTGTAGATTCTTAGAGGCTTTGGGCTTAAGAGGGTATATCAGGCTTGGGGGGTTTCAGGGCTCAGGGAGTTAAGGGCTTCTGGGAAGAGTGCTATTTGAGGGATTATAGGGTTTAGAGAGTCTGTAGGGCGTTTTGGGGCTTGCAGGGTCTAGGCGGTTTTGGAGTTCAAGGTCTGTAGGATTTAGGGTTGCGGGGCTTGGGCCTTGAAGGGGGCCCTATCCGAAACCCTTTCAAACGAAGGGCTGTTAGGATGCTTCGTTTGAGGTCTATCATCAAGAAGAATTAGAAAGAAGCAAGGTTTACTTACACTCCAAACCTACCAACTCTGTCTGCCCTAAACTTGCGGAAGCCCCTGAGGCCCCTTAGGCTATCCAGGATCTCATCTTGCAGATCCTTGGGCTAAGCCAGATAACCCTAAACTTCCCTAAGCTCTACACCCTAAACCCTAAACCCTAAACCCTAAACCCTAAAACCTAAAACCTAAACCCTAAACCCTAAACCCTAAACCCTAAACCCTAAACCCTCAGCGTCGGGAGCCCCGAGGAGCCTGAAGGAAGAGCTGCTTCGCTGTGAAGGTCATGTCCTTGACGCGCAAGGATGCCCAAAGCTCAGGGCTTTTAAGGGGGAGGGCCTAGGGTTTGGGGGGTTCAGGGTTTCGGCGGCGGTTTAGGCGGTTTAGGCGGTTTAGGGTTTAGGGTTTAGGGTTTGGGGTTTAGGGCCTAGGAGCTTTTGGACCCTAAAGGACAACACCTGGAGAGTTGAGTTGTCCTCTTCATTTTAAATAGAAGTGCAAGAGATGTGAGCCAACCCGAAGGCATCGCGAAGGTGTCTCCATCTGCTTCAAGCTGACACAGAGAAAATTGTGCTAAGCTGGGTTGGCCTTTAAACGCCCTGAATGATATTTATATGTAGGATCCCTTATAAACCCAAATGAGGAAAATGCAACATGTTCCAAAAACCAACCTAGTAAGAGCCTAGGCTCTTTCAGGAAGATGGGTGTGATGAGCGCGTCGTTCGGGTGCTCCGCCGCAATGCGGTGCTGCCATGTCTCGCAAACCGTCTCCAAAGCTCGCAGCATTCTGCCACGCTCCTGGCCTTCTTCTTGCTGGATAGTCCGCTCCTAGGATGGACCCCCATAGAAACCCTCTGAAAAATCAATTCCTGCATGTGCTCCTCTTAAACCCGAAAGATAGGGGAAAATATGCAAAAATGTCCCGAGGGCCTACCTAGGCTCTAACTCCGCCAGGAGCTGCTCACCGGCCTGGCCCAGGGGCGCATGGTCGGTCCACTCAACTTCCAGCGGCAGCTCTGGCTGGGTCCAGAGCGCCACCAGGGCCCGCTGCAGGGCAGGCGCGTCGCTTCGTGGGCCCTCCTTCATGAGCAGAGCCTGGGCCTGCGCTGCGCAGCGAAGGAGTTTGGGCTGCTCCTCGGTGCTTACGGTGCCCAGGGTGGTGGTCTGCCACTGCGTCCGTCGCTCCGCTAGCTGGCGTTCGAGCTGCTTGTCTGGGTCGTGTCCCCAGCGGTGGGATGCGAAGTCCTCCAACAAGTGGTCCACCAACTCTCGGTACCTTGCGGGCGCTCTTGTCTCTTGAAGAACAAACTCCCAACCAAAAGAAAGGAAAAAACACACACACACACACACAAAAAAAAAAAAAAAAAACTCTCAAGGTACACGGCCGCTGCATCTCGCACCTTTGGGGGCTGGCAGAGTTCCGCCTCCACCACGGGAGCAGCCTGAGCTGGATTGCCCCCTCAAGCAGCTCGCTACCCATGATTCCGAAAATCACGTCGCGCGCATCGCAGACATCTAAGTTAAGGTTTGGGATGTGGGGTTTAGGGTTGAGGGTTTAGGGGTTTGGGATGCCTCTCTCTAAGCCCCATAGCGAAAGCCTTCTCCAACTTCTCCACTTCGGCAAAGGCCATCGGCCGCTTGTGCCACAAGTCCTGCACGGGTGTTACTTTCATGTTTATGAGGCCCAGGTTTGAGGTGCTTCAAGCCGCGAAACAAGGCCCTAGATGCCCAGCATAGCTCCCCTTAAATCCATCAGCCTTAGAACCCCGATTGCATGTAAAACTTCCTTGAAAGCGGTACTCAACATATCTCGTGTGGGAAAGATGGAACAGCGAACTCTTATGTGCTCCTGGATCTCGGGCAGCTCCTTCTCAGGCGTCTTCGGCCGCGATTCCTTCGCAGTAGCCTGGCTCCCACAGAGGGTTTAGGGTTTAGGGTATAATGGCTCAAGGGCTTAAGGGCCTAAGGGTTTAAGCGTTTCATGGTTTAAGGGTTTAAGGGTGAACCCGAAGCCCCTGAAGTTTAGGCTCGAGGGCTTAGAGGCCTCGAGGTTCAAGGACCACTCCCCCGGCTCTCATCAACTCCCCAGCCTCCCGAAACGTAGGTTTTGTAGAGAGGGCTGGCCCTAACATCGTATACACCCTGAACCCTGAAAACCAACCCCATAGGCCTGTTCCGCAGCCCTGAAGCATCTGAAACTCTGCAACATACAGGTAGCAGCGGGGTCTTCTCCCTCACAGCCAAATCCCCCAAAATGAGCCAACCCAGGCCGCTCTCTCACAACTACGGACAAAAATCTCCAGTCTCAAGCGCTCCAAGCTTCAATCGCGGAAGCCTCCGAAGAGGAACAAACAAAAAAAACTCGCTTTGGCGTGCAGAGCCTCCAAAAGCCCTGTAAACCTTCCAGCCCCACCCTCAAACCCTAAACCCTAAACCCTAAACCCTAAACCCTAAACCCTAAACCCTGAACCAAGCGGCTGCCGCCGCGCTTCCCACCACCGCTGGTGCGGCCCAGAGTTGCACTGGAGGCCCCTGGCCTGCGGAATTGCCAGGGATAGGCTTAGGGCTTAGGGCTTAGGGCTTAGGGCTTAGGGCTTAGGGCTTAGGGCTTAGGGCTTAGGGCTTAGGGCTTTAGGGCTTGGGGCTTAGGGCTTAGGGCTTAGGGCTTAGGGTTTGGGGTTTGGGGTTAGGGCTTAGGGCTTAGGGCTTAGGGCTTAGGGTTAGGGCTTAGGGCTCAGGGCTCAGGGCTTAGGGTTTGGGGTTTGGGGTATAGGATGTATAAAGGTTTGTAGTAGGGCTTATAGAGTTTAGGGTTGACAAAGGTTGGTAGGGCATTATGGGGTTTATGAAGGTTTGTACGATTTACAGGCTTTGGGGCTTTTGCGATTTAGGGTTTAAAGGGCTATGGGCTTTTTGGGCTCAAGGTTCGAATTTGTGGGGCTACACTATGCAGGGTTTGTAGGGCTTGTACGGTATAACGTATCTGTCTAGGGCTTATGGGGCATACCGGGCTTATAAGGTTTACACTGCTTGTGGGTGAGTTTTTTTTTAAATGGCTGGGCGAAGTGCTCACAGGGCTTACTATACTCGCCTTAGAACCTTAATAAAACTAATTATGTTTAATATCCTCTTGGGTTTTATATGAACAAAAACAAAAAATGAATTCCCAAGGGGGATATAGCCTATAGGGCTTGCAAGGATACGGATTCAGAAGGCTTGCATGGCTTGGGTGGGATCACGGATGTTATGTTTTGAGGGTTTAGGGTTTAGGGTTTAGGGTTTAGGGTTTAGGGTTTAGGGTTTAGGGTTTAGGGTTTAGGGTTTAGGGTTTAGGGTTTAGGGTTTTGGGGGTCTGGAGAGGCAACCTTCTAAACGCTAAACCCTATAAACCGCAATCCCTAAACCATCAGTACATCAGATATATGTGTATAATACATATATATATATATATATGTATATATCATACCCGTTTAGGGGATTGTACACGGCACTCGATTCAAGAATTCCCTATTAAGAACCGGCCAGCTTGCGGCACGTCTCGTGTTTGCGGCGAAGGGAGGGCTGCGCGGGATTTAGTGCCCAAGCCGTCACTAATCTAGGCCTTGCGCCAGAAGCCTGAAAGTCATGCAGGGTGCGCGGTTTAGGGGGGATGCTTATTTTGTTTGAGATTAGGGATTTCTTGACGGTGGCCTTCACTCGGCGGCGGTGGGGATTTCTTCATGCGCTCGGGACTCCCATCGCCACCTGCTTGGAGTTCTTCAATCTGGGAGGGATAAAGGAGGTTAATCCTGGAGCATTCTTAAGGGCGCCTAGAAGGTTTCGAAACCCTTCCGGGGCAGCCAAACGAGGGAGAAAGAGGATATCTTCTAACGTACATCTCGTCCGCAAAACCTGAACCCTTAAACTCGAAGCTGTGATTTCAAGCAGGCATTCTCTCCTCAGTCACTTTAGCAGCTCTTTTGATGTGCTGTAAGGGGGTAGTGTATTCGGTGTATTCGAAGGGCTTGAACTTACACGTAATCACTAAACCCTCAAGACTCAAAACAAGATACAAAGAAAATGTATGCACTTCACTTGGGTCCTTGAAGGCTCCAAACTTCACTTGATTCGGGCCCCGCTTAAGAATGCAGACGCTCTGGAACACACGCCCTAGAACCCGAAAGATCGAATATAGGGGTCGGAATAGTTACTTATAGCATTCCACTATGGTCCCAATGTAAGTGTACGATAATTACTCCCAAAAACCCTACTCAACTTGTTAAAGCCCCGTATTAATTAAACGCACACGTGTGTCGGTACAGCGGTTTGGCACAAGCAACAACAACAACAATTTCCGCCCAAGACTTTCGCCAAAACCCGGCCCAAGACTTTCGCCCAAAAACTCTGGACACGAACCCTATACGACTTGTATAATCCCCTAAACCCGAAACCCCAAACCCTAAACAACCAACCCACATCCCATGTCCCGGCTGCCTTCGGCTGGCGGCGGGGGGCTCTTCTTCGCACGCTCGGGGCTCCCATCGCCACCTGATAGGGCTAGGGCTTAGGATGGTTTCGGGGCTTAGGGTTTAGGGTGTAGGGTGTAGGGTTTAGGGGATAGGGTTTAGGGGTTTAGGGGCTTGGGGTTTAGGGGTGCCTAAGGTTGGAGGTCCAACTGCTGCTATCGCTCTTGAGGGATTGTCTTGATCATGTAGGGGGCACAAAGGGGGTGGGGGGGGGGGTATAAGCTACCGGGTATAATGTACCCTATATAATTCCTAAAAGGCGGTATCAGGTTGCGGGTATAGTGTGTTTCTGCGGCATGATGGGAGTCCTCCCGATTGGGTAGGACACATCTTTTTGCGCAGCGCTTTTTCCAAACAACCCTGATAGTTCAGGGGACCAACAAACGCACCTTATCCTGAGTCACTCTGTCCTCTTGCCAAGGAAGCAGACGGGCCCTCGAGCATGACTGAATGTCCCCCCTCAACCCTAAACCCGAAACATGATAGCAGAATCTTAAACAAAGGCAAGGATCATCACTAAATAGGATGCCCCGGAACTTTTCTGTGCAGGATACATATATTTGGGCTGCGGGTTGTGAACCGCAGCGCGCACGGCTGTGAGTCTGGAACCTTAAGCCCTAAACCCAAAAGACACAATTCATGTCATGTCGTCTCTCCCCAAGGACTGACTGCAAAGACGCAGTACTTAGAAATCAGGGCCTACAGGTTCAGGACTTGGTTGTAGAGCTTGGGGTTTTGTAGGGTACAAGGCTTGCCCACTTTGGGGTTTAGAGGGCTCAAAGTTCAGCTTGGCCTGCCTGAGAGAAGGTTCGGCAGCCGCGGCGCGGGCAAAGGCTTCTCACTGGCACTGGGCACACTGCTCCCAATCGACAGCTTCCGCGCTCCTGCAACGGCAAGACTTCTGAAGACCTAGTGATTGTCCCCTTTTCTTCTGTATGTGGGGGTGGGGGGGGGGGGGGGCCTTACCTCAGCCATGGCCAAGCACTCTGCATCGACATTGAATGCAACTTTGAAACCCCAAAACTCGAAAACCTGGACCCTCCACATAAGAGCAGTCAACTTAAGCTCCGCAGCCAACCCTCAACCCTCATCGTACCCTAGTCTCTAAACTCCAGGAAAAAGAAGTACCCTCAACCCTGAAACTTAAACCCTAAACCCTAAACTCGAAGCCTCAAACCCCAAACCCCAAAGCCCAAACCCCAAACCCCAAACCCTAAACCCTAAACGTAGGGTTTCAATCTGCGGCCTTGGCTGTAGGTGGCCCAAGCTCCAGGTGAGGCACTGGAAACCAAGCCGCTGAAGGCCTTGAGGGTCGTAGGGTTTAGGGTTTAGGGTTTAGGGTTTAGGGTTTAGGGTGTAGGGGCTAGGCGTTTGGGGAGTTGGGGCTTTGCGGGGCTTTGGGACTTTAGTAGGGTTTATGGGTCTACGGGTTTGGGGGTGTGGGAGTCGCCGGATTGTTGGACTATAGGGTGTGGGGTCATACTTCTTTACAGTATGGTTTGGCTAGTTCATGGTTGGCATTGTATTGAAAACCTTAAGTTTCATTTCCATATTGAGTTTTATGCACCCTAAAAAATGTAAGATGCTATCCCGCGATGACAAAGTTGGGGCTTGGTTTGGGACTTATCACGCCGCTGCCATCGTTGGGTGGGCTAGCGGTTGGGATGGTTGAGGCCTTGCGGGTTCTCAAGGTTCGGCAGCACAGGGCCTCAGGGCTTTGTAGTTTGCAGCTCTAGAAACATTAAGCCTTCACGTTGGCGGCCTTGCCCTTCTGAGGGCCACTTCAGCACCCCCTTGGGCTTGGTAGCGCGACATGGTTGAAACAAGTTTCTTTCATCCTTGCATCCCTACACCCTCGTAAGCCTTCCCCAGAATAAAGCAGGGCCTGCCTGATAGGCCTAAAGCCCGAAGGCCCTCCTAAACCCTAAACCCTAAACCCTAAACCCTAAACCCTAAACCCTAAACCCTAAACCCTAAACCC